GTGTGTTTCATCTCAATTGTACAAATTGAATTGAGATGGAGGTTATATCTGCCACTACTGATCTGACTTTCATAAGGATTTATGAGTGAAACCGTGTCAACCACTGATCAGCCATGACGTGTTTCCTTCCCTGAAAATAAAAAATGTAATTCCAGATGCAAAAGTAAGCGACCGACTCATTCCTGTGTGAGGTATAGTGATATAATCCCAGTTTATCCAAGCCTGAATTAGTCTTCTGGTGGTTTGTCTCCACCCGGTGGACAATTCAGGAGCTTACAAAGAGAAACATTGGATTTCAATAACAAAAGTTTTATTAACAATGTAAAATGACCTATATCAGCTTGGACTACTGTACCTTCACCGTGCCCTAAACACCGATCACTATCATTAACAAGCAAGAGCCATGCTGCCTGCCCTGTGTCTGCACTGATTGACTCAGACACAAGGAGACCCTCCCTGCTCATCTCAACCAAAAGACTCTTCGCGAACCAACTTCAACTTTGAAAATAATTCCAACAGCGTTGCGTAAAGAGTATGTGTATATACAAGTCTAATGTCTCGGTTTATAGATAGATATTGTGTGCAAAGAAGTTTTCTTTTTGAGTATTGTATCATATATTCTGTTTCAAAGCTGGAAAGTTAAAGTTGGGTACAGGTTCTTGGTTTATGGAAGACTAAATTAAGTACATTGAGGAGAAAAAACAGCCAGAAACAGAAAATAGAGACTGTGACACACGACAAACTTACTCTGCACAAACCCGTGTTCTCACCTCAGAGTGACAAAGGCGGAACTTTGCGAACACCTTTGTCAAATCTCAGATGGCGTCGAATTCATAACGAATCACATTATTTCTGACAAAAACGAACAGTTATATTCCCTTTTTATAACGTGTATCCTCACTTCACTCTCTCAGATTTGTGGAAGTGATTGAACATGGATCTCTCATTCTCTTATACACTGAACAAGAAAAATCCCTTTCAAAATATCTTAAAATATAAGTTCATGACTTTTGTTTTCATCACATTGCAGTTAC